TCCAGCCCATCATCGATGCTTCTGAAAGCTCTTCAAGCCCCTCCATTCATCCTGCTCCACTCTGGAACTTGGTCGTTCATCTTCTTCATCTTCGATCTTGTTGATTTCCCGACCTAGATAAATAGATTTGGAGCATTCGGAGATATTCGTTCCGCTGAGCGTGAATGGGCCATGCGAAACCAATCCGTTCTTCATGAACATCGTTTTTGTGAGATTTAGTAGCAGGCCAATCTTTCCACAGGCTTTATTAAAGTCGACAAGCATACGTTCCACTTGGCTAATGTTTGGTGTTATAAGGACGATGTCATCATCAAAGCGAAGATGGTGCAACTACCGACCGTCGACTTTCACTCCCATATTATCCCATTCCAATGTTCGCTTGACGTTCTGGAGAGTGGCGGTAAATTATTTTGGCGAGAAGGTATCGCCTTGTCTAACTCCTCTTTTGACGTCAATGTTAATGTCGTTGTAGAATGATGATATCTTGGTTGTGAAATTTTTGCATAGCTCACGAAGAATCTTTATGTAGTGAGTAGGGAATCCTTAACTGTCCAGGCCTTCCATGACTGCTTCTACACCAGTTGAGTTAAAGGACTATTTTAAATCGATGAAAGCGAAGCAGAGTGGTCTTTTGCGCTCCCGCGATACTTCAATGAGTTTTGTTATCGTGTTGATGTGGTCCATCGTACTGAATCCTTCCCGAAACCCTGCTTGATCACATGGCTACCCTACGTTTAATGTTGCGTCAGTCGTGTTTGTGAAGACTACGGTGAAAAGTTTGTAGGCGACAGGCAGCTAGCAGAATGAGCGATAGTTGCCGATATCGTGGAGGTCACCTTCCTTAACCAATAGCACGGTCTTGCTGGTCTTTCATTAAGGACCTTGCATTCAGACAGGTAACGTGTGAACAGCCGGGTCAGTGTGTTTTCGAGGACTGGCCGAAGATTCTTCAAGTGTGGGTCTTATCCTGTTCGGACCTGGTGCTCTTCGATTTGTCACCGACGAAATAGCATGTCGGATTTCGGAAGCGAGAACTGGTGGTGCGACAAATCCATCCTCCTTTATTTCATATGAGGGCAAGAATGCGTGGCAATTAAATAGACTGGAGTAATAATCATGAGTGATTTTCTCCATTGCCTTTCTGGAAGCTCTAACCGCTCCGTCTGGGCGTCGGAGTGAAACCATCTTCGTTTTGCAATTTGAGATGTTTCGACGAGTTTCGCGAACGCTTTTCCCAGCCTCTGCAGCGTCAGGAATAACTGCTGCTCTTCTCTCTTTAAAATCTTTTATCGCCCGTCTGCATTGTTTTGTAAGCTTGTACGTGAGCTGGCGGTTGGCTGTAGCTCGTGCGATTCCACGCTGGCGTATCAGCTCGAGTGTTTCTGGAGACAGACGTCTCTTGGAGATTTTTGAACTCTCAGGATTTGCACTGTTAAAGTAATGATATTGAATGAGCCGGTCATATTACGCGTCGTTGTTGTCAAGAACGACATTTTTCCCACTAGCCGACGAAGTCCCAGTTTATGATGATTTTGGTACTTCGTTTTTTGAATTTATCGCCTTTTTCTCTTTTCGGATAGGAATGAATTCTTGCACGAAGGAGGCGGTGGTCCGATCTCGTTTAGAATTTTAGGGCAACAGCAACATCAATCAGGCAAAATCTTGGATTTACCATGATGCGGTCTATTTCGTTGTGGTACTCTCCATTAGGATACTCCCACGTCAATCATTGAGAGCTGGTCTTCTGGAACTGCGAGTTACCATGCATGGTCTTGGTTGCCATGATAAACTTAGATAGCCGCTTTGCTCGTTCAACTTTAATTCGTGGGTCTCAATGTGACATTCTTCAGACATTCTTTTGAGCCCAATATACTAGTGTGCATGCATTGTGGGCACAAATCGTAACCTTAGTGCACTGCGATTTAAGCAGCTTAAAATGACCCTAAGATTTTAACACGCTCTCCGTACTCTTCCTACGTAATCCCGCCGAATCGCGGCTCTCTCGTGGTCATGAAAATGAGACCCGTTTTTTTAACCGTGTTTAGCCTTTGGTACCCACGTGTAGCTTGCTGAGTTCTGAACGTGGGAGCTGGGTATACCCACGAGTAGCTTGCTAGTCTCTCCCAGAGAGGACATGGAGTTTATTTGTTGCAGGTGACGCTAACTACCTCCCATATACTTCCCTGTCACTTGGTTGCAGGCTTTTGGCCGAATTGGCCGAAGAATACAATCCGCATAAGCAAGAACGCACCCACACACGCATGCATGAATACGTTTCGTAAATAGGGAAAGTACGTGCCAATTCGGCGCAGCAGAAAGAGAGAGTACATCCGGTGGATCCACCTGCGTCTTAGGGAAATAAATGTCGCTTTGGTCAGCCATTAACCACCAATCTGCCACGTGAGTACGCGCCACGTTTTCTCGCGACGAAACAGCACGAGAGCGAGATGTGTGAAAGACAATGCATTCATTTTACTTCATTTCATTTTATTTTATTTGACCCGTCTTCATGTCCACTGTGCTGTTTCCAGCACTTCTCACATCCGATTCGTTTCCTCGCATCCAATGTCCGCGAAGATCTTCCAACTTTTACGTGTGGATTCGGTTGCTGCTTGAGGATCTCCATTTCATCTTGAATATCGTGGAATGCTGGTCGAGCAATTTTCCCTCGAGTCCTGAGATAGCCGGGCTGGAGCGTTCCCAACTGGATTGCAGAGAGTGATTTTTCCATCCCAGATAAGTCCGATACCAATTTGCTGACCCCATAGGGATGAGAGGCTTCGTTGGCTATCTCGAACTAGCACCACACTCGTCATGACGGACATCACTACTACTGTGCTATCCACCCTCTACGGACAATGCATACAGTAACTAACATGTAAAATCAGTCCAGCTGTTTTCGGGAGGGAAACCGATTCACAGGATCCATCTACAACCTATGATGATCACCTGGAAACACTGTAGTAGTGTTATTTCGTGACTCGGGAGAAAACAGCGTTCGATAAGAAATTACCTCAATATGTGAATGAGGATAGGACACTCCCGGTGCTCAACGCCAACTTCCTACACCAATCAAACCACTTCTGTCGTTGCAGGAGAGTGAAACAAATGAAGGAAGTTCTGAGTTTCGCAAATGTTTTCACCGACGGGTCGCTACAGGAAATGTCTGGGCACTAGCTGCTCATTTCGCAGGTGAAGTTGATGAATAAATCTTGCGATTCCTAATAACAGAAGCAACACCTGATTTTAAATGAAGAATCTGCGATCGCTTCCCATACCAATGGCATGCTATCTAACTCGATCACGCTTGGTCGGAAAGCAAACTCTCCTCATCTTTGTCAGAGAGTAACATGGCAAATTGTGGAGCTCTTAAATGCTTATGTGAGTGGTTCCAGGCACTATTTTCAAAAAAATCGGTGAAAAATCATAAGAGTAAGGACTGAGTTTTGTTTATAAAGAAGCGACGCGATAACTCACATCGCCGACCAATTACTTTGTTGATTCCCAACGCTTTCTAGTCATCATTTGTAATATTTTTGGCATTAACTACATAAAAGGATGAAGTGCTGGGCGCTGACCAATTCACTAAGGAAGCACCATGCATTGGATTAAATTCGTAGCATCGTTAGAGGTGATTGAATGCATATCTGGCCTTTACAGTGACTCGCCGTGGCCTACGGATGTGTCGAGCCAGTGCTGCTATCCTCACAGACAAGTCTGGCACCAATTTGTCGACCCCATAGTGAGGAATGGTCTGGTGAACCACAGGGGCGGGGACCGATCCCATGTGTGTGCCGCAGGGCGCCTCCGACCACTGTGTTACACGTGCCTTATTAATTATATATTTGTTATTAAATAATATGTACAGAGTCCTCTCGATGAGTTAGTTCCCTATATAGAGTGTATTTCTCGAAATATCGTATTTTAGGCCATGTCACGGCAAAATGAACTCGTCCGATGGCGTGTTTTTTGCAAACTATTAAGTGCAGAGGAACGTTTTTCTGATCTCACCCATATAATTCTGGTCGGCTCTTGATTACCTCTAGAATGAGCATATGAAGTCCAGTATATAAAAACTATGGAACACACTAAACTCAATCCAGCTCATTAAAGACGTTATAATGTCCGCACAGAATGGAATGGTTTAAAGGTTGCATCGCACGATTGTTGATTTGGTCCTGAGACGACTATTGGACTGTGTTCAAAAAAAAAAACAGTGTTTTCGGAGAGGTTTTCCCGGTAGCGACGCAGAGGTGGAAGCTTCTTGTTCTTTCTTGTTGTTCTGTGTGACTCAGGAATGCTTAGAGAGCTAAGTATTTTTCAAAGGTGGAGTCTCTAGCCCTAGGTTGATCGTGTCGTTGTGAAATCCTACGTTGCTAAAAGATGCGTTTGAGGTCGAAACATAGAGATGAAAGGGTTTCTATTACTTCCAAATTCTGTATATCCGAATATCAGGAGTAATCCATGGAATTTCTTGTATTATTGTTGAGCAAGTACGAGATGTTACTTCATTCTTTATTGACGGAAAAACTGACCTTTCGGCGGATCTCGCCTTTCTCAGAGCCCGGAAAGGTCAAGTTGGTCGCAATCTACCCAGCCAAACACCTTCATAATCCAATCGTCCTCCAAATCCCTATAAGGTGGAGGCAGATTTTTTTACACTGGAGAATAATTCCAAGTTAGCTTGCTAGTTGAGTGACTTGCTAATGTTTGTTCAGCAAATTTGTTTTCGCCACTGGTTTTTCGAACTTTTATATGTTAATGACGTCATGGTGCACTGTCAGCTCTTGTTTCTCTCTTTTCAGTCTCAGTTTCAGGTAATCCCTTCACAGGGATACGAACTGAGTTCAATTTTTGATACTACAGAAGACCGAACGCTTTAAAAATGGTGAGTTGTGTGTTCGGTAATTTCGACTTGAACGGCCACCTTTTTATTCTTCGTACTTTTCGTTCAGACGATCAGTAAGAACAATAAGATGATGGCTCACCTGAACTTCAGGATGAAGGTGATATTGCAGGATGCTCGCACCTTCGTAGGATATTTTAAAGGTTGTCGTTGACGACGTTTAAGCTGAAATATTTTACGCACTTCATGCTCCCTTTTGCAGCATTCGACAAACACATGAATGTGTTGCTCGCTGATTGTGAGGAGTTTCGTCAGATCAAGCCTAAACCGGGAAAAAAGGTTGGTTTCGTTGTATTTGTATTTCATGTAAAAACTTGCGCATTATTAAGGTGCACACACAGAGAAACTTTGGGGAAGGAGAAGTAACGTAAGAGAATAGTGATTATCTCTATAAAAGAAAGAAGAAGCCTTATGCGTAGAACACGATGCATGGGCTATCATTACGTTGTCTTGAAGCGACTGTCGCTGTTTATGTTTTCTTCTAACTAAAGCAAAGATCCTTGTTTTTATGCTTGTGGAACATTTTTAGAGAGAGTCCTACTCCTAGTAAATTAACGCGCTTCAGTTTACTGTTATAGTTGAAATCAGCCTTTATCTTATTGCTTAATACTTGATACTTGTATGGCCCGTCCTCACTGGTTGTGCGGGCCCCAGCATATCCTCCGTTTTTCGGAGATTTGCTGGTTAAGCAATTATGATATTCTGGAATATTGAGGTCAGCGTAGCCAAAGTCTGCCCCAGGTCGTCACCATCACAGGTAGTCACACAGTTGTTCGTTCTCTCGAGGTGGCAACTTTGCTGTCGTGCCGAGACCGGATCTTCTAGAGTGGACACCGCACGAATAAGACAAGCACAGCCTGTAGTGTCTTTTTATAGAGGAAGGTTGTTGTTGCAAAGACTATCCGCTGATAATTGTTTGTTTTCCAGCGGATAATCCATCCTGTAGCAGTCGGTATTACGTTACTTGATACTTGAATGGCCCATTCTCACTGGTTGTGCGGGCCCCAGCATAATCTCCATTTTTCGGAGATTTGCTAGTTAAGCCATTATGGATCCTTGGAGTCCCGAAGTCAGCCTGGACAAAGTCTGCCCTAGGTCTTCACCACCACAGGCAATTGCGGCCCTTGTGGATCGGAGGGAGATTTGCCACCATGCGACTAGTTTGATACCAGGGCGGCGTTCGATCCTGGTATTGGTTAACTCTTAGCTAGGCTTCCTGATGGAAACGCCGGACTCCTCAGCTTGGGAGACCCTGCTAGGGGATGAATTCCCCGCTCTTCATTGCAGTTCGACACCCAGGAACACCTCCCAGCCACGATGAGGCGGTAAACCGTTGGGAGGTATTGCTTAATACTCATTTTTTTTAAATGAACAGGGGGTTACTACATAAGCCTCATGAAGTTCAAGTAAGCCTATCATGCTGTAATGCCGTTGATCATTTCTATATAAAGGGTTTCACACTGGTCATTCACATTGATGACGACATCTTTGTCATTGTTCTGTATTACAAAGTGGTTAAATTAAAATGGATTTAATGTCTTTGTTATCCTAACTTGCCTTACACCTTCTATATACCGGAATCATCACCTGTAGTCAAGTTGATCGTCGAGTGACTCAAGCGGTCCACAGTAATTCTTCCATTTTTCCCTGTCACGTGCAAGGGTAGCCCAGTGGGTTCCGCTCGCTCTAGGGACTCCTTGAGCATCATGCCTTCTAGGTTATTCGTGAAGAACTCTGACCATCGAGTTGGTGGCTTCCTGCAGTGCGTTTAACATCCCGAGGAATCTAGTCACTAACGGCTCTTGTTCATCGGCTGTCATTTATACGCATTACGTATCCAGACCACCTTACCTTCGACTGTTTGGCGTACAGAACGGCATCTTTGACTTTTGATCGTTGACACAGGTTGGAGCTTCGGATCCCTTCCCTTATTTGTGTGAAACGGCGTATTCCTAGCATCGTCCTTTCTACTGCGCATTCAATAACGCTGAGTGACCGTTCATCCTGCTTGCGCAGCGATCAGGTTTTTGACATATGCGTTAAGGCAGGAAGTACGGTTGAGTTGAAAAGGTGGGCACGGAGTCGGGTGTTCTTTTTTCTATAATATTCATGATCCAGTGGCCTTATGCATATTTGGGCAAGTGATCATGGATCTATTGTAGTCGTTCATGTGAGGGAGCTTTCAGGAGTCCGCAACCACAGTGTAGACGTGAAGTTGTAAGAGTTGAGTGAATGTATGACACTGTATTTTCTAGTAGTGCTTTCGCATTTTAATTGGAGTTTTTTGCACTGTTTACTCGATTACTTGTTCATTCGTTTGTCCTCTTTCCCATGATCGCTTTCCATTTTACAATTCATAATTCTAGGTCGCTGAAGGCGAAGAGAAACGAACACTCGGTTTAGTATTGCTTCGTGGAGAACACATTGTATCAATGACCGTGGATGGTCCTCCCCCGAAGGATGAGGACGCGGTCCGCCTTCCAAAGGCTGGAGGTATTGCAGGACCTGGTCAGTCGAAGCCTGTGGGACGAGGAATGCCTGTTATGCCACCTGGCATGCCTCCAGTTCCTGCTCCTGGACTAGCTGGAGCAGTTCGAGGTGTTGGTGGGTGATCATCATTCTTGCAGACTGCGAATTTTGATCTGTTCAGTCGTTTAGTATATTGGTTGACACATTCGCGAAGATGATGACTTTGTAACAGTTGGAGTGTTTGAAATTACGATGACTTGACTGTTTTGTAAAAAAGGATATTGTGAAGAAGGGAAAGGAATATGTAATTTTTCTGAAATATTATTTTCATTCCAAAGTTTCTTAATACTTAAGATTCGATGTTGGTTTCTTGGTTGTTAGAGTATCGGAGAACGTTGGGAACTTAAAATTTTTTTTCCAATTTTTCTTTTCGGCGCTATTGTCAGGATTCAAGCAATGTGATAGTTTCAAACTTGAGTTTCTACGAATGCAGAGTTGATATTCTTTATAACCAAGCTTGCATTTAAACGTCTAAGAACGCGATTTTTCCCAACTTTTTGAGATTTCGATTTTCACCTAATTATAAAATTGAATCAAAACTAGGCCTTTCCAGGCTCTGAGGAAGTCGAAATCCGCCGAAACGTCGGTTTGTACGTAAATAAAGAAATAAAATAGCACCTCGTGTTTACTGAGTAGGAGTAGAAAGAATTATTAAATCGAAACTTTAGGAAAGTTCTGTGTGGTCTTAACCGATGGTGCAAACTGTTTTTCTAAGTATACTAAGTTTCTATCTCCTTGAGAGCGTGGTTATTGGAGCATTGTTGGGAGTAGACAAGAGATCAGCGTTCTCATGAATGTTTTTTAAAGCGTACTTTTTCACAGGCGTTTTCGTTCACGTATGAGTTGAGGTCAATTCGTGCAGGGCCTTATATGTAGAGGTTAAATTATTCGCGGATATTAGACTATTTTCGGGCACGCTTCTGCTATACATGACTTATATCGTCTGCTGTATCTTCAGTTATGATCTCATGAGTAAGCTAACAATAGAGTGGAAGGAGATTTAAATGTTCGGTGTGTTAAAACTACTTCATTTCAACCGAAACTACTAATTTCAGGTGGCCCTGGAATGGGCATGATGCAACCAGGTTACGGTGCTCCACCACCAGGAATGCCTCCAATGACTCGTCCACAATTCTAAAACGATCTCACGTGAAGTATATTAGCCGACTGATGCTGGCTAGTTATTTTATATGATGAGTTGATTTCTCTCATGTATATTTCTCAATATTGTGGCGATATACCAAGTCGTTGTTTGTTACATGGTATAACTTTCTAATAAACTTATCCGTTTTTGTTGTTGCGTAAGACATGTGGTATGGCTCTCCTTAGTTGTCGGTTTGGCGTAATTGCACTTTTTGGAAGCGATTTGCTGTTCGTCGAATTTACATCGGTAGAGCTGTGCTGTTTGCTAGCGTTTGTGTAGTGGACGGATATATTATGCCTTTACACTGAAGTGTTCGATAGCTTGGGATATAATTGCTCCTTGATTGTTTTGTTCGATTGGTTATTATATTCAAGGGTATCTAGCAAACGGTTCCTTAGTCCGTCAGTGCTAATTGATGCCGCCAAAAAAGAAGGGAGAAGTGGAACGCACGCCTTTACTCGGACGACTAGGAACAAATCTTCGAGTAGATTTTTTTTTGTTTTGTTTTAAGTCTCAGTTGGTACTTTGTTTCAACAAAACAATGAACTTCTTAGGTGGCAAGTGCGCCGTGCGCCGTTCTCCTGTGTAAGTGTACTAACACGGTTATCGATCAATAGGATTGTTTACTATTAATCCGAGAATTTTTGGCTGTTAGAATTAGTATTTAGTATAAGATTATGGTGTAGTGAGTTAGATTAGGATACTCCATATGTTCAGTAACATTCTGAAGATCTCTTGCATCACATTCATGAGACCTAACGTGGACGTAACGATCCAAGGACAAGTAAAATCCGGCTATGTGATCTTTAGGAAACCCACTCATGTTCTTTTTCAGATAGGTATTCTGGGCTTACCAAATGTTGGTAAGAGTACCTTTTTCAATGTGCTGACGAAATCGCAAGCGCAGGCCGAGAATTTTCCGTTCTGTACAATTGATCCCAATGAAAGCAGAGTTAGTTCTTATGATCTTTCAATTAGTGTATAATCTTAAGAACATGTAATCACGAATAATTCTAAAGGGTGTTAGCCTATTTCTACAAAGACCCTTTCTCGGCACCTATTTTATGTCCTTTCCGTTTATCTCTTTCCTCGTTTTTTGCAACAGGATAATAATCGTGGATGACTGACTTCGCCGAAGGCACTAGAGTTGTGTGAATTTTATGACCTTGGAAGCCATCATCCATCCTGGGTAGCATGAGCAGGATGGAACATCACTCAGCGAATAGAATGCGCTGTTGGAAGCAGAATGCAAAGAGTATCCCTTATCACGCAAGTGTGAGAGGAAATTCGATGTTCCGACCTACGTCAACGATCAAAAACCAAAGAACTCGTCCTGTACTCCATATTGTCGGAGATAAGATGGACCAAACACGTAATGCAACTAAATGACAACCGATCGACAAAAAGCATTAGCGACTGCATTCCTCAGGATGTCAAACGCACTGCAGGAAGACCACCGACCCGTTGGCCAGAGTTTTTCACGAAAAGCCTAGAAGAAAGATATGACGCTCAACGAGTCTTTAGAGTGAGCAGAGCCCACTGAGTTATTCTTGCACGCGACAAGGAGAAATGGAAGGTTCATTAATACCCGCTTCGGTCATTTAACGATCATCGAGATGACGAATGATACAGCTAAAAGCAGCTATCCGACCAATAGCCACTCAGGCTTGCGACTGTCTGGTACGTCATCCTTAAGATCAGAAAGATTAATACGTTCAGCTGTTCGTTTGACATAAAGTAGAATCGACTTGTCTTGCAATAATTGAATCTTATAATAAAGAGGATAGTGGGATGTTGAACCCTTTGAATAACCATGCTAAAACTACATAAAGCTTGAATGTCTTATCTTGTTGGTAGTGAGTGCAGATTATCTGCAGATTACATCTTGCTTTAGGCGGTAAAGTTGACTATGAGCTGAGATTCGTCCAGTTAATCGTCGAGTGACTTGAGCGGACGCCACCGGTAAATCTTCCATTCCTCCCTGTCGCACAGAAGAGTGGCGCAATAGGTTCTCTTTCCTCTAAGGACTTGTTGAGCGTAATATCTTTCTTCTAGGGTTTTCATGAAGAACTCTACCTACCATTTGTTCGTGGTTCTTCGTGCGGTAGGTTCTACATCTCGACGAATCCAGTGGCTACCGGCTGTCGTCCATCGGTTGTCGTTCATATACGATTACGTCTCCAACCCACCTTGTCTTCGACAGTTTGGCGTATAGAAAGGCATCTTTTATTTGTGGTCATTGACGCAGGTCAGAGCTTCGGATCCCTTCCATTAATTTCAGTTGTCAACTTAAAAACTGTAAAAAAATGCTCTTCTTCCCCCAAGAGCCTAGAATTTTCCCGTAGTTGGTTAGGTGAACATATATTTCCCTCTTTGGTGCGAAAATCCCATAACACAAAATGAAATAGTAGCTCGTTTGGCTTGTCGTCGCATTTTGAACTCATCGCTTATTTCGGAGTATTTCGGAGTACGGAGTTCGGAGGAATTTCCTCTTGCTCTGCCCATGATAAGACGGTAAACCATAGTAAGACGGATAAGTATTACTAGTACTACTAAATAATGCCATCTGAGTCACACTATTCCGAGCAAGCCTTTAGTTGCGATGTAGTCTTTGAAACAAAAACAGCGGATATGTTTAGGTTCCTGTTAGTGACACGCGATTCGACTGGTTAGTAAATCATTATCAACCCGTAAGCAAGGTTCCGGCGTATCTTAACGTTACGGATATTGCTGGCTTAGTGAAAGGTATGCTTTTTAAATTTTCCACTCCGAAGCCAGTCGTTTTACGAATTTTCATTCTTTTCCTAGTAAATACCTTAATCTGAAGTAGTACAGGAGCTGCCGAAGGGCAGGGTCTGGGAAATGCTTTCCTTTCACATGTTTCTGCTTGTGAAGCGTTGTTCCACCTTTTGAGGGCTTTCGAAGATGACGACGTTACTCACGTTGAAGGTGACTTCTGTCGATAACTTACATAGTAGTTTATTATTTTGTGTTGCATGTTTAGGCGACGTTGATCCCTGTCGTGACCTGGAAATAATTTCTAATGAACTGTTTGCAAAGGATCTTCAGGCGTTGAGTGGCTCATTGGAAAAAGTTGAAAAGTTGGTCACAAGAGCTGGTGACAAATCATTAAAGGTGCCACAGAAAATATAACTTCATCTGAACTACTTTCTGATGTCAACTTTTTATTTTCTGCCCATTACAACTCTTCACGACAGGGTATTACGTGTGATACAACCGCAGTGATGCTGACATATTTGCAAGACTTAGGACCGCAGGTGTCTGCGGTAGGGAACGAACGCGCTATTACTCGTTCCGGCTAACACGTTCACCACCACGCATAATACCGTACCGTGAAAAATTGTAATAGGCGGTAAATAAAAAGTTGGCGTTATGTTTTCGACTACAACCTCAGCTTAACTTGGTTCATTGCCGATTTGGGCTTCCCAGATCATCCCGTTGACGGGTGACTGCTGATGGCAGAGATCAATAGAACTAGCTGAGAGACAGGCGAATCGAAGGACCCTCATGGTGTGGCAGTGAACGCGTTTGCCCCCGAAAAGGGTGATGGTGCGTTCGTTCCCCACCGCAGGCACTTGTGGTCCGGAGTTTTACAAATATCTCAGCATCATTTCGTTTATTTTCTGATGTTTTTTTCAAGGTTGACCATGAAACCTTACTAAAGGTGAAAAAAGACTTGGAAGAAAAGAAGCCTATTCGTCTTGACTCGTGGAGTGAAAAAGAAATCGAGGTTGGGATTAATCTGTTGTTCTTATATTTATGTCCTAACATTCTTCAACTGTGATGATGCAGGTTCTTAACAAATATCTCTTTCTAACTGCAAAACCAATTGTCTATCTTGTCAATTTATCGGAAAAGGACTATATACGTAAGGTATGATGAAGTATATCTAGTTAGTAATGTCAACAGTATTGTAAGAGTGGTTTTCTAACGTTTCAGAAGAACAAGTGGTTACCCAAAATCAAAGAATGGATTGATAACAATGACCCAGGAGCGACGCTGATTCCTTTCTCAGGTGCATTTGAGAATAAACTTCTCGATATGCCCGACGATGAACGAGAGAAATACTTCAAGGAGAATCAAACTAGTTCGAATTTGGATAAGGTACAAATATATTTAGACTTAATGGTGGATTCTGGTTTATATAGAATCTCTGGTTAATATTTTTAGTGTTAACATTAATAGATTTAAGTTAGCTTCGTAGTTCTTTTCAGATCGTTCATAGCGGTTATAAAGCCTTGCAGCTGGAATATTTCTTTACTTGCGGTAAGGATGAAGTGAAGGCGTGGACTATCCAGGTAGCCCTACAAATATGTAGTATCATAATATGCTTTAAATATAGAAATTGTTTTCAAGAAGAGTGGTGTTTTTTTCTGCACCTGGTTCACTCCACTGTTTCGCATTCATCATGGATAGACGATTTGTTCTGGCCATGACAGATATTTCATTTTAAGTCGTGGTGTAGTTATTCTATTTTGAGCGGTGAATGTATACACATATATACATGCATATGTGTTTGTACGTATACATATGTATATGTATATGCGTGTAAACTGTGTTGTCATAATCTCTCAAGGGAACCCTTACGTACTTGTGAGATCTGTTCTAACGATATTTTGTCTGTCTAAACTCAAATTTTTGAAAATCGAATTGATCAGTCAGCGTTTTGGGATGGATTCACCAGTAATTTTTGCTTTGAATACATACGCAGGAAGGTCTTAATAATGTAACACTTCGGAGCAACAAGACTCAGGTGAATTCTGAGTGCCAGTAGAACCTGACATGTATACGTTGTAAAAAATAGAATATATAGAACCACAACGTTGCTGAGATATTTGCAAAACTCTGGACCGCAGGTGTCTATGGTGGGGAAGGAACGCGCTATTATCCTTTCCGGGGAGTAACGCGTTCACCACCACACCATGCGGGTCCTTTGTTTCGCACGTCTCTCAGCTATTTCTATCGATCTTTTTGCCACAGCAATCACCCGTCAGCGGGGTTGATCTGGGGAGCGCAAATCGGCGTAGAACCCAGTTAAGCTATGGCTGTAGTTGAAATCACAATGTTTAACGTTTTGTTTTCTGCCTTCTATAATTTTCATGGCAGGTTATTAAGCGAAATACAACCACAACGTTGCTGAGATATTTGCAAAACTCTGCTGTGGCAAAAAGATCGATAGAAATAGCTGAGAGACGTGCGAAACAAAGGACCCGCATGGTGTGGTGGTGAACGCGTTACTCCCCGGAAAGGATAATAGCGCGTTCGTTCCCCACCATAGACACCTGCGGTCCAGAGTTTTGCAAATATCTCAGCAACGTTGTGGTTGTATTTCGCTTAATAACCTGCCATGAAAATTATAGAAGGCAGAAAACAAAACGTTAAACATTGTGATTTCAACTACAGCCATAGCTTAACTGGGTTCTATGCCGATTTGCGCTCCCCAGATCAACCCCGCTGACGGGTGATTGCTGTGGCAAAAAGATCGATAGAAATAGCTGAGAGACGTGCGAAACAAAGGACCCGCATGGTGTGGTGGTGAACGCGTTACTCCCCGGAAAGGATAATAGCGCGTTCGTTCCCCACCATAGACACCTGCGGTCCAGAGTTTTGCAAATATCTCAGCAACGTTGTGGTTGTATTTCGCTTAATAACCTGCCATGAAAATTATAGAAGGCAGAAAACAAAACGTTAAACATTGTGATTTCAACTACAGCCATAGCTTAACTGGGTTCTATGCCGATTTGCGCTCCCCAGATCAACCCCGCTGACGGGTGATTGCTGTGGCAAAAAGATCGATAGAAATAGCTGAGAGACGTGCGAAACAAAGGACCCGCATGGTGTGGTGGTGAACGCGTTACTCCCCGGAAAGGATAATAGCGCGTTCGTTCCCCACCATAGACACCTGCGGTCCAGAGTTTTGCAAATATCTCAGCAACGTTGTGGTTGTATTTCGCTTAATAACCTGCCATGAAAATTATAGAAGGCAGAAAACAAAACGTTAAACAGAATATATAGAATTAATTAAGCAGATGACTTTAAAAATTATAGTTTCTATTCACAGGATTATCTTCTGAAAGAGCACTAACGTAGCACTTTTACTCTCTCTTTTCCACTGAACTGCTTTAAATAGAATATACAAGCGCGCATGTAGTGTCCTTCGCCATTACGATTTTCCAGCTGTTTCGCTTTTTCTTTGGACAAAATAGTTCTAGTAAACTGTAGTTGATTCCTAATCTCTTCCATAATTCAATTAATGCTCTTTTTCTAACCTATCATGAGGTCAAACAATCTGAATCACAGTCTGAAATTTTGCAGTTATTGTTGGCAATATGCAGAAAAATCCATTTTTAGAGAGGAACTCTTGCTCCGAAAGCTGCTGGTCGAATCCATACGGATTTCGAAAAAGGATTCATTATGGCGGAAGTTATGAAGGTGGCAGATTTGATGGAGCTTGGTGATGAGAATAAGGTATGCTTCATATATGAAGACGGAAAGGCGAAACGAAGAACCCGCGTGGTGTGGTGGTGAACGCGCTACACCCCGGAAGAGACAATAGCGCTTCGTTCCCCACCGCATACACCTGCGGTCCGGAGTTTTGGAAATATCTCAGCATCATTAAAGTTATATACTTATATATTAACATTAAAGTTTTCGACAAGGTACTACAAAAAGTGAATATTTAAACAAGTTTTTACAAGCATGAAACGTCTTCGATACTATGAATTTTGCTTCTTGTTTTCCGTTTTTACAAGCGGATGTCTTTTGTTTACTTTATTTAAGAAAAGTCATCGTATGTACCATTATTTATCGATATTTTAACGGAGGAAATACGTTTCTGTGTCTACTACGTTAACACATGGAGTCTTATTTGTGTCTTATTAAGAACAAATCCTGGCTGTCGGGCTGCTATTTACAGCAGTGGGATTCGATCCCACAGCAGGGTCTCCAATGCTGAGAAGGGATCCGGGTTTTCCATCAGGAAGTCTAGCTAAGAGTGAACAAATACTAGGATCCACCACCTTCCTAGTTTCAAATTTGTCTCATGGTGGCAAATCTCCCACTGGTCCACAAGGGCTGCCAATACCTGTGGTGGTGCGACCTGGGGCAAACTTTGGCTAGGCTAACCTCGACACTCCAGGTAACCACAGTAACTAAGCCAGCGAGAGTCTAAAAAAATGGAGGTAGTGCTGAAACCCGCCTAACCAGTGAAGGTGGGCCATCCAAGTAAGTTAATAAGTATCTTTTTGCAAAGAGAGTGTCGTCGATTCTTGAAAGGTGTATCTCACCACTCTTTTCATGTGAAACGTGACATTCTGATACTCCATTATCCCTTCGTTTCCAACCCTCTAATCTATAAGACCTCGCCAACGTATTTCGTGGTTGGCCCAACCGACTACGACCAGTTTTTAATTAGCTGCGAACTTTGTGGTCTTATAACAGTAAAAATAGTTGTTTAACGAATTCAATTTTACGGGTTGTGAACACGATTGAATTGTGGAAGAGACTTTGTTTTCTATCACTTTATGGGTATGAAAGATATTTATGCTACTACTTTGTGTTATTGTGGTCCGCTGTGCAATTCTATTGCCGTCAGCACCTTAACGTGTCTTGAACCTTATGTCGAGTTCATTTCGGTGTTTTCTATATTCATATATTTTATGAGATGACCGTAACGATTAGAATGAAAGGTTATCATTCAAACTATCGGCCAGTGGACTTTTTCGAAAAAATGGAGCTTTTGTAGGTCACTAATTGTAGAGAATGGTTTTTCTGGTCTCACCCATATTATTTTTTTCTCTTTTCTATTAGTTAGCGAATAAATATACATAGTATGGCATAAAAAAAGCTCTGGACCCGCTTAACTCTATAGGGGCACTATAGTGTCCATGTGGTCGTTTGGTCTAGTTCGCTATGGACACTAAAATGTCCATACGCGACGTTATGGGTTAGGCTTGAGTAGTAAGCAGAAAAAGTGCTGAGGATGCTCATCGTCTTTTAAGTTACCTTCTCAATTCTCTGTGTAAACTGAACAAGCTGCTCCTTTCTTTACATTGCTCATGTCTTGAGATTAGTGTTTCATCTCATACAATTTCTTACCTAGAATGTATAGTTGGCACATTTGGATCAAACTTGATGTTTATTCCAAAGAGATTGACATATTGACATAGGATGTCAGAAACAATCTTATCGCGAACATAGTTTTGCTACGTATCTTCTTTATTCTATAATACCATTGTCTTTTTTGAACCAGTTTTGCACGCGCGCTGTTGGAATTGGCAGGGGTTTTTAACGTGACCATTGCTTACTTTTATAATGACAAACTTTTCGGGGTAACGGTGTACATAACTCGACACTCCCTTCTTACTTTGTTCTATTTTTTTTCTGCATAACGTTCTTCGAGGGTGGCGCAAAACGATTTGAAGAGATCGTATCGTCTAATTGTCCTTTAAAGTTCAAGTCAACGGTGGTTTTGTTGTAGAGCGGCGAAATTGCGGTTGTGAATTTGATTTAGTGGCAATAGAATATCTATACATGCTGTGTCGATGATTGTCCGTGCATTTCATCAACACTTACTTGGATACTTGGACGACTCATCTTCACTGGTTGCGCTGGCTCTAGTATAATCTAGACTTTTTCGGAGTTTTACTGGCTTAACCACTGTGGTTCCCTGGAGTCCCGAGTTCATCCTAGCCAAAGTCTATCCCAGGTCGTCACCACCACAGGTAGTCGCCGCCTTTACGGATTAAACGGATATTTGTTACCATGTGGCCGGTTTAATACCAGGACGGTGGTGGATCCTGGCACTGGTTTACTTCTAGTTAGACTTTCTGGTGGAAACACCAGACTCCTTGTGAGCTCGGCAGGTCCTGTTATGGCAATGAATTCCTTCGCTGTACATCGTAGTCCGACATCCTAGAACACCTCATAGTGAAATCGGGCGGCAAACCATTGGGAGAGTCACCACTTCAGCTTTAGTATTTATAATTAAGTGTTTGCTAACCAGTGAAATTGAGACATTATTGGCATTTTGTTGGTATTTCTTTCTTTTGCAGCAATGGATATACAGTTCATCGTGCTGAAACGTTTTTGAAACCTTACTTTCTTGTATAACTTCTCTTCTATTCTTGTCTCAGTCCCGTTGAGGACTAGTCAGATGAAAAGCGGCGAATTATTCATATTTTTACTACGATCTTGCCAACATCAAGCGCTATACTCGGCGACGAGATGAGATCTCGGAACTAAGAGCGCTTTATTCTTCTTGGAGGGAAATGAAGGTACGTGAGTGTTGAATAATAAAACTGTAGGCAATCTTCACCACTAAATTTCTGTGTACATTGCTCTTCTTTGGTCATGTCGACCACTTGTCACTTTTCCGCAAAGCCTTGGTTGCTCAGTTCTAATTTGGTGGTTGTTTGAAGTCAATGTGACTCAATCCTAGCGTATTAATCCTATAGATTCCGTTGGAGCCCTTCTGGTGCCTTTCTTAATCGTGATGTGGATGTGTCAAATTTGTCATTTGTATTCATAATGTTTTCGGCAACGGTTTTATCCCAAAATTCAGATAAGGAAACGAAAATTGCCTAATATTTGTGGTGTTGAGTTTTCTTCTTATAAATGTCAGTCCCTAAGGGATGCACCATGTATTCGGTTTCATTAAACATTGTTTGGAAGTGATTAAAAGCATATCTGGCCTTTGCCATGACTAGCGGTGGCCTACCGACGTATCGAGACAGTGCTGCTATCCTCCCAAACAAGTCTGTTACCAGTTTACCGACCCTGGAGGGATGGAGGGCTTGGTGGGCCATGGATGCGGGGGGATCGGTTCCACATGTCTGTTTGCAGTTCCTCCGACCACTGGGCCACATGGCTCGTTATTCTATTCTGGTGGAAATTGAATGAATACTTCGTCTATACGATTTATGAAGGCTTTTCAATGGACCGAGTCAGTACTTTTCAAACAGATCGTCATTTAACCTTGGTAATAATAATCCGTAATTTCTTGGATTGCTAACCCAAGAAGGGGTTGATAATCGGACCATTGGCTCTGAAGAAGATTAGGACGTCGAAACGTTAGCCGAGTAAACCTCCTTATCTAGCCGTTGTTAGCTTAATAATCCAAGAATGTATATCAAGTCAGTGTTTTTCAATCCTAGATAATTACGGAACCAATTTGACGAACCCAAAGGTATACAGGGTTTAGTGAGTGTAGTGCGCTCTATCGAACCAGCGCTCACTTGTATATTGTAGGACCATCCTGACCACTTCATGCATCTGCCATTTATAACTTACGAAATGAAACTGGGAAAGGAGCTGGAAGCATGAAATTTGTCGGTGTTTAAGCACGTAGTTACGCTGAGTGGCTCAGAATGGATATATGGACTCATTGTACCAAAAATTTCCGTTATTCAAATGAAATACACCGACAAGTCTCTTTCTAATCTAGTATGTTCTCGTTTTTCAAGATCATAAAAGTCCCTAACGGAGCTTTTAAGCACGTATTTCAGGTCTAAGGCAAAGATCTTAGTTGATTTGAATAGCTACTTAACCGCCCCTCATATGTGGTGCGGTGGGACGCCTTCCGCAGTCATACCTGAATTGTTGCATTGTGAGCGGTGGCCTGTGTGTGTGTGTGTGTGTGTATGTGAAAGAGTGACGCCGTTGACGACGACGACAATTAAGGACATTCGATCAGGGTCATTCAATCCTTAATTTTAGTGTACGATCAATATGTCATCTACAACCTTTTGATGAAAGATAGCAATCGCACTGTATTGCCCAGTGATTCTTGTCTCGGCGAGTTTGCTAAACACGACCGTGAGCATTCTGATGACCAGAATCCATTCTGTCAGATACGGAGGATTTTTCGAGTTCATAGAGTGCTACTGATGGAGCGTCCCAATATAACCCGATATTATGGTCATCCTATTTTAAAGGTCAATCAAGTTTGCTTTTCGTGCGCCAAAAGTATGGTTTTTACTGGTATTTCTCAATATTTTATATAGGTCATTCTCATAATATAGACATAATGCCTGAAGTTGTATAGATATATTCGTTGAAAAAGGTAACATCGATTTCGGAATATGGCTCATCTAACTGCTTGCTAAACCTGCTGGCGATGATTGAACAGGTGACCTTGTGTCCCCTGGAATGACCTGTTTTCACCATGTGGCACCCCCCTCTAAGATTATTCTGTTCACCTAGGAAGTTCTTATCAGCTCACTTGTACTCTTATGTCTTAGTGGCAGCCGAAAAACTTAGAAAGAACCATTGGCTTATTCTCATTAACCACCGTGCATGTATAAGGAAACCATCGAGATTCCACATATATTCTTTAGCTGTGCTGTAGCTTACACATGAAGATGTTTCGATTTTTAATCGTTTTCTGTTTAACTGTTTATAAAAAGCCACAATGTTGCTGAGATATCTGCAAAACTCTGAGTAGCAGGTGTCTTCGGTGGCCCCCGGAAAGGGTAGTAGCGTGTTCGATAGAACTTGTGATTGTATGTACTGTAATCAAAATAGAAATGTTCTTTTTCGTTGGTTTTTTTCATATTGGAAATGTTAGCTGAAGGGAGAGTAGTATTTCTCAATTGTCGACCAGTGGTCTCCATTGTCTCATCTGTACGCACATCATTCAGTTGACTGAAGTGTAATTTATCATTTCTATCAAACTTAAAGTTCAACCGGATGAAAAAAAACTTTACAATCTATGTGGTCAGGTTTTCGTTGATGTTTAGAAGGAAAAATTCCTGACACGAGTGAGCTATGGGATGTTTTTTTGATGGGTAATCATATTAGAAAAAAGTTTCCATAACACCATAAACACAAGTTGTAACATAGGTGGCGGCAGCTTTTAAGACAACGGGCGGCACAGAACCGCAATACGTATCAGTGCATTGCTTATTGGCAGACCTAAATCATTTTTAGGTGAAAGCGGCTGGTAAGTATCGACAGCAAGGAAAGACGTATGTGGTTGAGGACGGTGACGTCATTCTCTTCAAATTCAACGCTGGCGCTGGATTGACGGCGACGAAAAAGAAATAGCCCGTGTGAAGCATTTAGCATTTGTAAACCGCTGCTTGTCAAGATTGTTACGCGCTTGCCAACTGTTGCATTGATACATTGTTTTCATAAAAGTTCCGCTCACTTAACTTGGCACAGTTTTATGAGTACAATGAGATACACATAGGGTTCAGGTATTTTGCCCTCATATTACACTTAGATGACAAATGAGACGGGACCTATGACAGACGTCCATAGCTTGGACACACACGCACAACAAAACAGATCTACGCCACGACAGACGAACACCTCATGACAGAGACGCAGCGTGAAGTGTGACAGATAACGCGGAGATATTGCACGAGTTGACGGAACGTCAGGCGGACAGCGTGTGGGGGCTGGAATCGCTGCATGCTGGCACGACGACGGGGGACAGGGCGAGAGTGTGCGACGCCGGCGGAGGTCGAATACGAGGGCGTGGCGAGCGGGGCGTGCAGCGTCGGCGGGCGGTCCGTCATTTGCCCCACCCCCGATGGCTGAGCCGCCCCTCCTTCCGAAGCCACCCGGCCAGCAGCAACCCGCTAAGGTAATGGTACACTCGGAAGAGTGCTTCAGTTCGTGGATTTGACGTTTGATCATGTGAAGGAGTGACAGGAGTGTTTCACTAAGAGGTGAAATCGTTTAGGTGATTCTTATTCCTCATGCCGCTCAACAACCAACTCAGCAGGTTTACCTACTGCAACCGAACACCGGTCAACAACAGGTGAGAAACAGATCGTAATGACTCACTGCATGTGTTACGTTGGTTACATGATTGCTTCTCGGAATCGTATTGATTAAATTTCCGCACCGCTGATTCATTACTCCCTCAACAGATGAGTAAAATATGAGTTTAATGTTAGCGTTTCAGAGCAGTAGGTTATTGATCGTTTTTTGCGAAAGGACAGTTTTTGACTTTTGACACTTTGAAAGTGTTAAGTTTGTAAATGTAATGAGGTTGAGTAGTGAAGACTGTGATAAAACGGTGTGAAGGGGTACTATTTGTGTTTATGGCGTTCCATTATAAAATGATTTAGTAGAGCTATTTTTGATTTATCTAGCTATTACTTGTCTTGTTTTCATCTACACTAAGGTGTGAGAGTATTCGAACCACGAATTCCCCATACACACATCATTAAGGGCTTCCGCAACAAAAATGAAGGCTGGAAAGGATTTCAGTTGTATTTCACCTGAAATTCGGCTGATCAGTAAGATTGTGGATTGTCGGAAGCCTTAGCTGATGTCTGTTTTCTTCTGTAATGTTGAATGCGATGAAAAGCTTATGAAATTATTGCCGTAGTGCTTTAGTAACTTAATCAGTTCGGGTAGTAATATTCTTTCTTCTATAGTTTAAGACGGTTTACTGGGAAGATGGATTCGTTCACTATCTTATCATCATAGGCCGACTCTCTCCAGATTCGTAGTGTTGAGAGATTCAAGAGATTCGGTCATGTATGATGGCTCAATCGTTCCGTAGAAAGTCGAATATTTGGTGGATCTCTTGGAAAAAATTGACCCTAAATCTATCTCTATATAATGTCAGAACAATAGGGTGATTCTTTGCTGTTTTTATTTTATTACAATTGTATCCAATGCCCTGAACAAAATTAGAAGCCTCTGTCTGTCGCAAAGCGACGTGCCATCGAATGAGTGTAACTACTTAACGCCAGCTAAATTACAATTGGCTCTATATGACAGCTATTTTGGAACCTTAAAGTGGTGATTTTAGCAGAGTCGAAGGCTAAATCGACACCATAGAGTCGAAGTGCACAAGATTTATGAATGTGTAGATTTTGAAATCAATAACTTCAAGTGACTAAAATGTCAAATGTAGAAATGGAGCTTATCTAATGCTTGTATTACTGGAAATTTCTATCGCCTCATTATGTCAAAGTGGTGTTCCTAGTTGTTAATCCGCATGTATAGCAGCAGAGGGGATTCATTGCTAGGCAGGCTCACCCAAGTTTTTTTCGATTGAAAGTCCAACTTAGAATAGTCCTTTCCGCTGAAAAAAAATGACATTGCTAAAGGGCTGACATGTCTTTTTTCAGTCCACAATGATAGACGAGGAGCGCTTGCGGTAACTTAGAACGTCCTGGCACGGTTATCTTGGAAGTCGTTAGATGAAAAAAAACCTACTTAACAACAAAGTAACAGTCAATTGATGAGCTCTATATACTAGTAAAGGTGCATCCAATTATCTAAATGAAAATTGAATTGGATGGTGTTAACGGTAAACGTTTGTATCTATCTTGCGAAGTTCTTGGCCCCTTAATTAGGCCCCTTAGTCCCTGGCCTCTTTCAGCGTAGTGATTTGTAATGGTGTTGATTTATTAACTGTGATTTGATGACGGTATAAGCATTCTTCTGATAGAAGCAGATATGTTCACAAGTAAAACATCCTCAAACTTTTTAAAACCTACTGTCTTAAGTTGATTGCATTGGTTCAAACACTTGGATACTTGTATGGCCACTGTTCACTGGTTCTTCGGGCCCAAGTATGATTTCCATTTTTTCGGAGTTTTTCTAGTTTAACCATTGTGGTTCTCTGGAGTCTCGAGGTTAGATAGGCCCGAAGTCTCTCCCAGGTCGTCACCTCCACAGGCAGTCTCTGCCCTTGTGGAGCAGGGGGAAATTTGTCACCATGCGACTAGTTTAATACCAGGATGATGGTGGATACTAGCTTGAAATATATGGAGTGCAACAATTATTGTTGGCCATATGCATGCTTAGATAGTTAAATTTGAAGCGAAATGCTCTCCGAAGTACAAAAAAATGTTTTGTCCTTCTGCAGCAGATCTTATTACTCCAAGCGGATTTCTCTGTTTGATATCGTGCATTCAGAGGCTGATGTGAAAGTGTGTGGTCGTTGTCCTTAGAAATGTTTCGGAAATTTGATTAATTAGTGGAAGTCACGTGGGCACAGTACGTGAAGTATATTTCATTAGCGGGAGTTGGTGGAATTTCAATTCAAACCAATATTTGTTGAATTATTATTGCAGAATACCTTCATGTGTTACTGTTTAAAGATGCACAAGATCTTATACAGTCCACGCTGTTTAGCTTACGTTCATTCCGGTTCAAATTCCTGCCGACTCGCAAAAAAAGCAGATGACGGTGTTGAGTCCTATGCAGCCCACAAGCAGCAATACACATATTAATGTGGCACAGGTTTGTCGAATAGGAAACGATCTGTTTATCCATTTGAATGAACGAAATTAGCATAGGAAACCATTAATGTTTGTCAGATGGAGACTCTGGACTCTGGTCGTGCTGGAGGAACACCAATTACACAAACGCCTTCACAACAACGAATAACTCTTGGTGAGCAAGTTATTCCTGTCTTTTATGTTTCATGTCATCCTCATCAAAAACATTGGGATCATTTTGACCAGTCAAACATTTTATCCTTGACTCTATTTCCTCCAGTTATCTATACACGTTATTCTAGGAAATCTTCATTTCCAACAAGATCCAAATGATCCACAGAAGTGGATTATCACGAATGATTCTGCTGCAGCAACACCATCCAGTCAGCCTACAGGTCATTCACACAATCAGTCAACAAGAATGATTGGCGGATCCGAGTCGCCTAACATGATGGCTGGTGAATACGAAATGGGAATGGATGATGTAATACTTTCAGCGTTTTCCCAGTTCATTGAATCTCTGTATTTGTGATCTGATATGGTTTTATACGGTGGGTAAAGAACTAAGCCGCCTTCGCTGCTGTTATATGTTGGTACTGTTAGATGTTAATAGCATTTTAATAGATTTGAAAGGTTTGATAGTAAATATTTCGGTCCGGATTAATCGCCTTCGCTGATTATCAATTTAGAATTTTAGAGCCAAGTGCCAAAGCGTTGTGCGTGCACATGTCCAAACTGTCAGAATTCTAATGCACCAAGAACGTGAGTAGAATTTTTTTTCCACAACGCATTGATATCATCACTTTGGCTTTTCATCGTTGAGTTAATTGGAAAGTTCAAGAAATTATTATTACAAGCTATTATACTTAGTATATACGCGGAAATTTTGACGCTCATCATGAACATTTCAGAGGTGATGGTAAACAGCGACTCCATATTTGTCATATTTGTCAGAAAACATACGGAAAGACGTCACATTTGAGGCAGTTTTTAAAATCGGGTTTATTTTATGAAACTGATATCCAAGAAATGGTGAATTGTTGCAGGGCACATCTCCGTGGACATGCAGGCAACAAGCCATTCGCTTGTGATTGGCAGCATTGCACCAAACGTTTCACAAGGTTTGTGACTAGTCTGGTATCGATTTTCCCTTTTTTTTTTGAACAAAATTTCTGGTTAAGTGTTCTCACTCAATGTTGTAACATTGGTTTTTGCATGTTGAAGCAGAGCTTTAAGGATGATTTAATTGCTGTGCTTTGTCACCTTCAACTCAGCAATGTTGGCTTTGTTTTATATTTATTACTGCATACATATTTCAAAAACCGTCTTTCCTTCCACCTCGTCGTAACTAATCACCGTGTATCATTTCATTGGTGGGCTAACATGAGGACAGTGGAAAATCGTATTGGCTAATGTTTCTTTCGTCGCCTTCGTCTTCTTCAGAGCAGCATTGATCCCGAGTCGATTGTCCGTGGTTGCTCGTTTTTCGATGTTAGTCTTCGCGACCACATTGAGTCGAATCCAATGGAGCATCGCTCAAATGGAGAAATGGAGAGCCCCATTCGGCAATACTCTTTTGTGCAAGACGGTTATTGTTGATAGTGATTGTTCATTATGTTATTTGTTTTTTTTTCCGACCATCCTGCAGCAGTCGATATCATTGTCAGCTTAGCAATGTTTAGAAAACCGACTTTCCTCTAACGTAACCGTGACCATTTCGTGTGCATCTTTTCATTGACTTAACACGAGGTTGATAAAAACCTTATTCGGCCAAGGTTTCATCGTCTCCGTCTTCTTCAAAACGAGATTGATCCGAGTCTACTTTTTTTGTTGAAATATTGCATACATACTTTGATTTGTAAAAATCGAACCTTATTGTGTTGTTGACGAATGCTTTCAGAAGTGACGAACTACAACGGCACCGTCGTACTCATACTGGTGAAAAGCGATTTGCTTGTGGTCATTGTGGCAAGAAGTTTATGCGTTCTGACCATCTAACCAAGCACGAACGGACCCACACCAGCAACCGTATGTCGATGACCCAACCATTGCGAATGAATCACAACTGACGTGCTATGATGTGATTGGAGCTACCTGCTTTTCTCGGCGTTTCTTTTTATAGTTCATTCTGTACTATTTTAACATCTACATAACAGTGCCTTCGTTTTCCATTTATAAAACGCGCACATGACAACAGCAAAGACGAAGTCGTTGTATTCTATGCCGATATGCTATGGCAACGAAGTGGATTTGCTTTTGTACGGTGTGCCAAACTAAAATATCTCAGGTTAGCATAAGTAGTAGTCCAATAGGGATACGTGAGTATCATTCAGTGTGATCTGAGAGTTGAGTTAGTGCATTCATCTGGAAATCTTTCTTTTGCTTTGAAATAGTCTTGCAACGTTTGACGTTCATATATTAGTTTATTAGTAACATTAGCACTCTGCTTCGAGATGATTGCGTTTAAAGAGACACTTGGTGAACAAGTTGAGTGTTTTGTTGTTGCGACTACGTCACATGGTAGTTCTTATCGAACGCGATGATTAACACGATCTAACATCGAGGTCTACCACTTCTCTTATTAGTTTGAAATATCACTTTGCCCGGTTACTATCGTTTCGTCGTTTTGTTAAGTCTGTATACTTCTGTTCCCACTTACTTCTTCATCTTCGTTGCTGTTCAGTCTTCTTTAATTGTGCGGTTAGTGCGAACTTTCTGAGTACTTTTGGCTGTTTTCATATAAGAAATTACGAATACTCTTTCGTTTTGCGTGAAATCGTGTTTTCCTGCATTAATATAATCGTATTGTTCTGTTTCGTTCTTCCTATTTTGATTCGTTGTTTTCTTTTTGTACCATTCGCAATGCCTTCTATGAAGTCGTCTAGCTCATTCAGTAATGCTTCTTATCGGTAGGTAAGCTATTCACAAAGTCAGTATGGTTTGTGTAGAAAACGAATTCGTAATTATCAATCAAACGTAGATTTTACATCATGGTGGCGTTTTTGTTGCTATTTAGTTTTTGAGTTGTATTAAAAGTCAATTACTAACTGATTTTGTGTGAGTAGCACGTTTGCGTACACCAAATGCGGAAAATTTTCGACAGGACGCCGTTTTTGTTGATGTTATCTTCATTACAACATTGGAGTTCACGTCTGTTATCAGAAAAGAGTGCAAGAGACATTTTGAGAGGATGATTGCCAGTGCTTTTGGAAGGCCAGAATGGAGCTCAGCACCTGCCACGGAATCCTAATGGACGGCTGGCATGCACAGATGACTTATGTTCGAATTTCGTGTAGGTCCCAATATTTCTATTCGGTTTTCTGTCTTGTAAACGACATTCGCATAAGGGCGGTGGAAGATGAAGTGAAAAAGGGATTCATATTTAACTAAGATCATCTGTCTTATATGAATTCACGTTGATCTTTGACTTATTCGGACGGCAATCAGTAAAGCCTTGATTAGTCATTGGTCAGGTTGTACTAGTTGGTTCTGCTCGCTGCACTCGTTTACCGCGTCTTTGTGAATAGTTCTGATCGTGGAGTTGGTGGTATTTATGCCTGTGTCTGACTTCTCTTGGGGAACTATTTACCTACTACTTTACTACTATTTATTTACTATTTATTATTTACTCTTTACTATTATTTACTACTGCTATTTACTATTTAATACTTATTTACTATTATTTATTTGCCGATGTGTGGCCGTACTTCGCTGACGTAGCTCGAGATTTTGGATCTACCTTTTCGTTCGCAAGATGTGCCATAGTCTCAGGATAACTCTCTGGATTGCTCGTTCGATATCACACGTACTGCCTTCCGTCCCCTACCGTTGATCGTCGAGGTCACTTGAGTGGGTGGCAGTAAATCTTCCATTTCTTGCTGTCGCGTGCAAGAACTTTTCCGGTGGACTCTATTGGTTACGGGGACTCGTTGAGAATCATATTCTCCTGTTCAGAAGCATTACCTATCTTCTCCACCTTTTGAGAATTTGATGTGTAGAACGGCGCCTTTTGTTTTTGGTCGTTAACGTAGGTAGGAGGTACAGATCTCCCTCCGACTAACGTGATACGAAATACTCCCATCGCGTTCTATACCGTTGAGTAACCTTTCACCCCACTTACGTAGAGACCAGGTTTCTGGCGCATGCATGAAGACAAGGAGAATCATGGAGTCAAAAAGGTAGGTGCTACAAAACTCGGATCCCAGACTAGATTCTAACCTACGATTGTCTTTTTCGGTGGTTAGTCATTGCACCACTAAAGCCCTTGCTTTACCTTTCTCACTCTAACTAACGGTGCCATCAACAGTCACCTATCAGCGGCAATGATCTGGTGAGCAAAAATCTTTATTCAACTCGGTTAAGTTGAGGCTGTAGTCGAAATCACAGGGTATAACTTTTATATACCGCCCGCTATTTTCATTGCTTCGAGAAAGGCAAAGCGAGGACGTTAGTGGTGGAGTAGGTAACATGTGAGCCCCGCAAAGAGCAATCATGGGTTCCAAACTGGTCTGAGAGGTCTGAGTTTTGCAGATGTCTCAGCGTTATTGTGGTTGTATTCCACATAGTACCTGCCATGAAAAAATAATAGCCACTAAATAAAAAGTTCTACATTCGGAGATATTCATTTTGTTGAGGCAATGGTGCATGCGGAACTAATCCATTTTCCATGATCGTTGTTCTAGTGAGTTTTTGTCGAAGACCAATCTCCCTACTTCCAAGTGAGATGATAATCTTTGCAAACTCCGTTTCTGGATAAAAAGAAAACGGGCTTTTCTTATGTTCTTAGATACTTAGGCTACGCGGGTTCACATAGCGTACAGATCCCACTGCTCCTTTCTTGGTTTTCGTGGTCTTGGAGCAGTCAAAAATGGGACAAGTCTCTTATGAAAACTTTTATTCGGTTAATGTTTCGGTACTTTTGCTTTCTTCAGAGCCCCGTTGATCCGAATTGATGGTATACAGGGTATCGTTTTGGTATGGAGTGGAATCCAGTGGAAGGATCATCGATCGAATGAAGTATCCTCACTCGGCAGTTCCCTTTTATAAGGGCTGATGTCAATCTATCGCCACCTAATGTGATCTGCTGTTTTGATTGCAGTGCATCGTCTAGTAGCTAGCGTCATTAGTAGCTAGCTATGTGCTTTTCGTTGTAGTAGTAGTAAATTAGATACTGAAACGGTCAATTTTGCAGATTTTGATGTGGTAACGGTCCATGTAAATAAATAATATTACTAATAACTCAATTACAGAGATTTTTCACAGCGGTAAAGTCATCGCGTGCCATTCGCATCCAGTTACAGCCTGTACTCAAAGAATCACTGGCAGAGTGCGATGTCTGAAAAGGTGGAGATCCTATGAAATGCGGGATCACGAACACATCTGTTATTCGTCCTAACTTTTACTTACTGCTTATTCTTTTTCATGGTTGGATACTATGTGAAATGCAACCGCAAGGGTGCAGAAATATGAACAAGAATAAAGAGAAGAAAAAATAGGTAGAAATAAAACCTAAGACATTCTGATTTTGACTAATGTTTTAGCTTAAGTGTGGTCAATGCCGATTTGCACTCCCCACGTCACTCCCGTTTACGAGCGGTTGCTGATAGCAGCGTTAGGGTTAAAAAAAATGACTGGGAGAAAAGCAAAGAAAGTACCTCGGTTGGTGTGGTATATATAGGACGTGAGTCCTTGGCAAGGGTAATCGTGGATTCGAAACCCGCCGGACGTTGTGAGTTTTGCTGATATCTGATTATCACTGTGGTTGTCCATGTACCATTTTTTAAAATGGAAGGTGTCATTATTAACACGTAATGCCTAATTATGGGTCTTTGACAACTGCTAGGTGTGAAGTTGAGAACTTGGCGGATAATAGGAGATGCTCCCACGACCGACTTTCTATTAACCTCGGCATTGATCAAGTAATTCTTCGTATTTTTGTTCTTTTTCATGGTTGGATACTAGGTTAATAGAAAGTCGGTCGTGGGAGTTACTGAAAGATGTACCAGCAAGATACTTCCGACTTGTAAAAGAAGCGCTGTC